TGGTGGAGAACTGGAGGCTGAAAAGTCTTGGTGCAAGGATGCAACCTTGTTTGACACCATTTGACACAGAATGGTTGAGACATCTCTCCATTCTCCCAAACCCCAGCCTGCACATCATCATGAAATTGCCACACCTTTGAAAAGAACTTTCTAGGGCATTTTTGTCCATGATCTTCCAAAGACCATCTCTACTGAAAGTGTCCAAAGCCTTGCTCAGGTTTACATTGGTGGACATGTGAAAACTCTGTTCTTGACATTTTTCCTGCAGCTGCCTAGATGCCAAAACATATTGATAGTTCTGGGCTCTTTATGGAAACGCATTGATTTTCAGGCAGAAGACCCTTCTCAAGATGTGAATTAAAGTCAAAACAAAATATCAATATTATGCTGCCAAAAATTGATGCTTGGAAGGTGTGCACAAAACAGAACACATAAATGATGCGGACAGACTGCTGAGGAAAACAGCTGTTACAGGAAAGGAACTAGCTAGGTACAAGGTAGATATTGCAGCTCTTAGCGAGACCCAGCTTGCAGGTGCGCCGAACTCTGTGAAAGGGAAAATTTCTTAAAATATTTAATTTTCTTATACTTATATTCCCACAATTATTATCTGTGGAAGGGGCTCTGGAGATACCTTCTTTTGGAGTGGCTGAGGAAGCCAAGAACATGGGGAGGCTGGTGTTGGTTTTACTATCAAATCTGCTCTGATTAGCATGCTGTCTGGACTTCCAATGGGAGTTAAAAATAGGATAATAACAACTATGAAAGTCCCTCTCTGCAAGACAACACCTCACAGCTGCTATGCTCCAACAGTGACCAACACAGATGAAGTAAAGACCAATTTTATGAGGATCTTCACTCAGTTATAGCTGACGTTCTAAAGCAGGACAAGCTCATATTTCTTTGTAACTTCAATTCTTAAGTGGGCCGAGATCACATCACCTGGGATGAGGTACTGGGAGAGTATGGAGTGAGCCATTGCAACAGTAACTGTCTCCTTTTGCTCCAGCCTTGCTCCAAGCACGAACTGTTTAATTATACAATCTTTACCTTTCCACACGAAATAGGTGTCGTGAATTTGACATCCTGGATGCACCCTCGCTTAAATCTTTGGCATATCATTGACTATGTTTATACCATACTCCTTTTTACCCTCACTATTTTTTGTTTGTCTTTTTTACTTTATTACTGTTCTTCATTGTAAAACTCTTGGTTGTTCTATGCAATTATGCTAACTTCTTTATCATTTATTAAACTACATATTTTAGAAAATAGTCAACATATTAATATTCAGGGCCATTTTAAAATTAGGTTTCTGTTGCTTTATTTTATAAGGCGACCAAGTGGTAATCCAGAAGAAGATATTAAGGCCCACATGTATGAATCAAATAAGGTGGAGGTGCAACAGTTAGAAAAAATCCTCAGTACTTTAGAGTCTCAAAACAAATATCTCAATGAACGTGTTGTGACGACAAATGAAAAATTGCAAGCATCAATACAGATGGTGGAGAGTCACTGTTCAAACTGGCATGAGGTAATTTAAGATAAGATTACTGTGCAATTAAAACAATTTTATTTTATATGCTAAATATTTCTCTTATTTACAACAGAATATATTGATTAACGTGGAACCATACTTTTCATAAACAAACTGGTGATTTTTCTTTGGTCAGTATTTGTGTCATTGATTACTGTCAAGGCTTTCTTCCTTAGCATTTACCTTTTGAAAACCACTCGCAAGATATATTAATTATATATGTATATAATAGTAATAGTAATACTGTCATATAGATTTATATATATAACATATATAATGACATCCCTCTGTCTTTATGAGACGATGGAGTAGCTATTGACACTTCATCAAATGGCTTACAAGGCAAATCCTGGAATGCCAGTCTCAGCTGCTTTTCTCTCAGGAGAGCGTTAACTCCTGGTTAAATTTGGCTTTTTGTAATGCTCTTTTTGTTGCAAGGGCTTTGTTTCATGTGTCTCCGGTTTTTCAAGTACACATTTCATGACTGTTATTTTTTTTTTTTTTTTTTTTTTTGGCAGGCTGCAAACGTTATATCAGATACAACTAAGAAACAACTAATTGATATGAGCATGAATCCCACAATCTTTCTACAAACTGAATCTCATGGATGATCACTATAAATGAAAGAAAACAACATATTTTGAAAAATGACCTGACACTCAATAATTATGGGTTATTAGAAAATAGTGGCTTTACTGATTTTATACTTTTTTTTTTTTTAAACAAAATTTTTAACTTGTCATAAAATTTATTTGAAGGTATTTTAACCAACTTCCCTATGTTTTAGAAAGCCATTAAGAGATTTTAAAGTTAAGCCTGGTGAGATATTTTAATCTTTCAAAGTTGGTACCGGTATTTCAAAATAGGTTAAAATTGATCAAATATTGTCTCTGTACAGAATAGTTTAATAAATCCATAACAAAAATATAGACTTCTTCTTCTTCTATATCTTAAGGGCCCACAATCAATTTATTGATCATTTTGGCTCCTACGCATGTAGATGGGATTTGCAATGTTTCTGTTCCTGGTGTTGATGAAGATATTTCACTGGTAGCAAGGGCTACTTAGTGAGGGTATCATGCACTGGGGGTTGGAAGGCTTGAGGCAATGACGCAAATGTGTCTAGTGTTGTTGCCTCAACTGTTTCTTTTGGAAGCTTGTTCAAGTCTGTGATTGTCTTTGGCAGGAATGAACAGCTCCTATACTGGCTTCTTGCTGGTATGAGCCTGAATTGCCTGTCATGGCCTCGTCGCTGTCTATGGGGGAGAGGGACGAGTTTCTGTTTAATACTGGAACAGTGGACCAGCCCATTATTTATCTTGTACATTATGGGGAGCCTGGATTGTCGTCGTCGTTTCTCCAATGGTGACCAGCCTAGTGTTTCCAGCATGCTGTCAACACTAGAGGTATTCCTGTAGCGGTTTAGGACAAAGCGTGCTGCTTGTCGCTGGACCGCCTCCAACCTGCCAAGCTCTTCTGGGTAAATGGGTCCCAGACTGAAGATGCATAATCTAAAACCGGAAGGACAAAGGCTTTATATGCTCTTTCTTTCACACAGGAGTTGCCAATCTTTAGATTTCGCCTTAAGAACCCCAGGGTCTTGTTTGCTTGGTTGCATACATTGTTAATATGCTCGTCCCAGCGGACCTCTCTTTGAATGGTAACACCCAGGTACTTTACGGAGGAAACTGGTTCAAGTATATGGCCGTGCAGTTCGTATTGGTAGTGTAGAGGAGTACAACTTCTAGAGACTGATAGTGTCTGGCACTTGGCAGGGTGAAATTCCATGTCCCAGCTCATCTCCCACTCAGCTAACAGATTGAGATCCTGTTGTAGCTGGTCCTGGTCAGATCTGTTGGCGATCATCCTATACACCGCTGTGTCATCTGCGAACAGTCTTGCTTGTGATGTCAGTTTCTCGGGTAGGTCATTAATGTATGCTAGGAACAAACGGGGGCCCAGCACTGATCCCTGGGGGACCCCTGACTTCACATCGACAAAGGAGGAGCTTGTACCGTCCACCACTACTGCTTGGCATCAGTGGCTGAGGAAGCATGTTTTAGTGGTGCCTTGGATCCCATATCTCTGGAGTTTGTGTAGAAGAAAACTATGATTCACACGGTCTAATGCCTTTGCGAAGTCCATTACCAGCACGTCAGTCTGCTTGTGGTTCTCCAGATTGGTCATCAGGTCTTCTACAAATTCAAGAAGCTGGGTCTCACATGATCTATAGACTCGGAAGCCATGTTGACAGTCATTGAGTATATTTTGGCTTTCAAGATGCTTCATGACTGTGCTTACGATTATGTGCTCTAATAGTTTGCAGACCACACTGGTATACATGTATCTAGATTTGACTCACATTGTAACACCTGGTTGGCTACATTAGTTAAACCATTCTTCTGTTAATAGTTAATGGGAATGTTGAGGGTTCGTCTCCATTCTGGTGTTAAAAAAAATTACAAATCTGCTATATCATGGAAAAGCTGTGAGAGGTGGTTTTCTGTACCATATTTAAAAACAAAGTTCATGTTCAAACAATAACCCTATATTTTTGCTTTTTTCGGGTTCAATAAAGTCAAAAATGGTTATTGGAACAAATAAGTTCAAATAAAAGAAGCTGGCACAACTAGGGATGAGAGGGACAAAATGAAATCTCGCGTCATAATAATTGGGATTGGCATAAACTTTTTAACATGTATCATTTTAAACAATTTCACAAAATAATTTACATTAAATGTAAAGAAATGGATATCCCAATTTAAAGCCATTCACACAACCTATAATTATATTTATTTAGGCATTTTTATATAGCGATTACCATAAAGCTCTAAGCGCTTTACAATTATTAAAACATGTAAACTAAGTAAATAAAAATGAGACACTAGGATATAAAATAAAATATATATTAACTTTTAAGTGATAAGCAGAGCTCTGTTGTTTTTATTATATTATTTAATATTGTGCAGAATAACCAACATAAATTGCGACCTCAAGCAGTGGCGTTGCAAGTGTTTGAGTAGTCTATTTATTGAGTGAAAAAATAAATTACAGAATTTTACAATGTTTTATTTTGATATTTCCGTTGTAATTAGCCAAACACCCCTACCAAACTGGTACCAAGGATAGATACTAGAATATCACTCAATACTGACCCTATTAACAGGCTGACTGTTTGAAAGTTGGTCACTGTAATGATAAGTCACATTTAAAAAGATGTAAAAAGATGTCTTGTTTATATCTTTTAGATTGTAATTTATCAAAAGTGTCATGATAAAGTAAGGAACAGCGCCCTGACCAATAGGCAACAGGCCACTTTTTATATCATGCTGTATTAAAAAGATAGGCACTGACATGGTCTAAGGGCACATCCCAACTGGCTGCTAGAAGATCGACTTAATGATGAAGACCAATCGCCAAACTTTTCAAGACATGATATAGATGAGTTTTGATGTTTTACCTTATTTGGATATTAGATAATTATCAGTATAAACATAAAATAATAAACTAATTATACTTATAGCTGAAAGTTTTTTTATTGAAAAGTATCAAATCAATTTTTTTTTAAAACAATAATAATAATTGTCATTATTTTTTTTAATAGCAAGCTGAATATATTAATAATATATGCCTCTAGTAACTGAGTAAGTCAGTCTATAAAAATAATCAAGTGTAAATCAAATTTTGTTTCTGGTGATGAAAATGAAAGTGACAATGTAAAAAATAATTATTTAGTACTATTCAATTTACTGTGTTTCCTTTGTTTGGCTTCTTGCAATTTTTTTAATAAACTGCTCCGCCGCTCTTTTAGTTTTTCTGATCTGCACTTCTTTGCACCTGATGAGCTACTTGAGGAGTCACTGTCAAGATTACTTTCTTCATGACAACTATCACTTTGCCTTTTCTTTTCAATAATTGAATCATCACTGTCATCACTTGCCAGGTCCGCAAGTTTGTTATGTTTTTTTTGCAGGGAAGGTGAACAAATATTGCTATCTTCACTATCTTGAATGTCAATTTCTTTGCTGCTAAGAAATTTGCTATCTAAGTCATCTGAGTCCTCATTAGAGCAACTTTGAATGTGGGATGCTAAATATTTTGCTTTTTTAGTTACTGGTAATGCCTCTTTTAAACTTTCTGTGGACTGGGAGTTTTTTTCATCATCACTGGAACTCATCTGAATTATCCTTTTGTGATAGTTTTGTATCCTGTGAGTTGTTTGTCTGCAAAATAAGAATAAACTATGAAATTAATTTTAATACCGTAATATACAATATGCAAAAGCCTGCTAAATCTCTGTTTTAGTTTAAAAACTAAGTTTAAATACAATTTTACATTTATTCATGGAATAATTTAATATGAATTGATATCAATGAAAAAAATATTTATATTTACATTTTACCAGATGCTATTTAGTAAAATATTGAGAAATATAGAAGAAGAGAAAAAATAAATGTACATCAAGTTCAAGCAATACTGAAAACAGGAACAAGTTGTATCTTTCCTTTTAATTAACTTTAGAAGTATTTACAATTAACCTATGGGTAGTAAGGAGACTTTCAATGTTCTAAAACAGGCATGTTATATACATGGTTTTTGTAAGTATACTCTGCTTTAAGATTTGTTGTACAATACATTATTATTATACGTGGTTTTAGTGGTTTTATATAGCTCACCACGCTGTATATACAATTTAAAAAACATAATAAAAATCTGAAATAATTAATTGACATAACAAAGGACTGAAACCAGTATACTAATACAAAGGAAACCGATACCAAAGCTAATGATATTAACTATAATAACAATATTTTATTTAATTATACTATTAAATTTATAAAAAGAATACAAAATCAAATAGGCAGAAGTAAAAACTATATTAACTTACTACAGCAAGTAAAAAAAGTACAATCCTCAAAAGATACAAATGTTCATTTACACACACACATAAAGAGTACAATCTTGTACTTTAATATGTCTTGTAAATGTCAAGGAAATGTAGCAAAAAAATCTCCACTGCTAGGAAATTATTTAAAGTAAGGGAGAAAGTTGGAACCCTCCAGAGAAGAAATTCTAGAAATTGCATCAACTGATAGCATTCTTTAGAAACAATAGAGTGTTAACAACCTGAGGGGTGGGGTTTGGTACAGTGCTACACATGTATTTTAACAATGGGTCACTTAATTAAAAATCAAAACAAAAAAAGGGGAGACAAATGGTGGTTGCCGCGATACAGTGATGTAAAATTAGATCAACACATAAAAAAAACAGTTTAATTTCAGTTACAGCCATTTAAGCTGTATGTGGGCAGTTAGTGCTGCGGTGGAAATCGTTTATTGAGGAAGCAGTTGTAATGAAAATACTCTAGATACTGGTACCATTTGGGGGGGGGGGGGAGATAGTCTTCTAAAAAAGTTTTAAAACAAGAATTTTTAAAATTAAATTTTAAAAATTTTGTTTGATACCCGTACACCAATAAATAATTATACAGCCATTTAAGCTGTATGTGGGCAGTTAGTGCTGCGGTGGAAATCGTTTATTGAGGAAGCAGTTGTAATGAAAATACTCTAGATACTGGTACCATTTGGGGGGGGGGGGAGATAGTCTTCTAAGAAAGTTTTAAAACAAGAATTTTTAAAATTAAATTTTAAAAATTTTGTTTGATACCCGTACACCAATAAATAATTTCATTTCTCTGACCGTGGTCACATCTTTTTCTGATTCAGCATTCACAAAATTTTCTCAAGGGAAAGTTATCCTACAAATTTCTAAAACTTATTTAACTTTTGCATTTTATTCCATTATTGCATAATTTATTTTAACTTACAACAGGATTGTGAATTCAGTTAGAAACAGATGTTATGTATATTTTTTTTTAAATACCAGTAATCAAATTTTCCACAATTAAGTTCAAGTATCTCATATAGTAAAGTTAATGATAAATATGAAAAGCTTAAATGCATATTTTATATACCGGGTACTGGTACCTTTTTTTATCATCTTCATCATCTAATTCAGAGCTTTCATCAGAGGAAATCCCATCACTTGTGTCTTCATAATCATCAAAATTATAGGCATTGTAACTGTAAAAGTAAAAATAACAATATTTTAAAATTTCACATATCTTTGTATTTCAGTTTTAGAAAATATAATTTCAGTTTCCTAAAGTTAAACAGAAATTTATTTGTTCGGTACATAATGATAAATATTTGCTCCATGTAACGAATAGGTTCGCGTGACTCCGTTGTCTAGGGGTATGACATTCACACAGTACACAAAGTACCCAAACACTTGACACAAGTCCTTTGCAGTTATTAGTTCTAAACTTTTATTCTTCAACACTCTAATCTAACAAGATCTCCCTTTAGTAATGTGGGTTCCACTAACAAGCTTAGCCAAAGAACCATACATACCAAAGAGCTCTCAGGCAACACTAGTAACACAAACTAACAATGCTGTAACCCTGATATGGTCAGCGTCCTACCCACTCACTCTCCCCTGTATCCCTACGCTTATAGTCTACCTGGCACAAAACAGACTCTCAGGGATTCCAACACCTTGACATTCCATTAATTTAATTTAATCACTTAAATTAAATTGAACTTTAGAATAAAATTGCACAACTTAAGTACCGTATAAAATTACTGTAATAACCTTGATTCAAGGGAAGAGTTGGAAGAATAAAAATATTTTTAGAGGTGCATGTTTAAGACGATATACCCAATGTAGGAAAGGGTTCATTATCAAGAGGGTGAATGACATATGATTTATCATTGAGAGCTATGACTAGAAGTAACCAACCCAGACTCTGCCACTGGTTCACTTACACTTTAGTAAAATTGTTGACAGTCTTTTTGGGTGTTAAACGTTTCAGTCTAGGTAGTGTTTCTTGACTTGGAATATTATCCCAGATAACATCCCTAGAGGGAAGGCTAAACTTAGGCTTGCACTCCTTTTGAAATAATCTTGATGACTGCCTTCTTGAAGCCTGATTCAAACAAAAGCTATGTAAATATTTAAACAGTCAGTTAACATTACCGTTAGAATTAAGCTATTATTTAGAACCTCTAACTCTAAAGGCTGCAAAATTTTAAGGGTTTGTAGCAAGATCAAGATTTTTTTTTTTTTTAAATTAAATTTTAAAAAGTAGGGAAGCGGGGAGTTAAAGAACAAAAGTTTACAATTTTTTGTTATCCGTAAATGGTCTGAGACAATAAACAAGAAGTAAAAAATGGAAATGTGTCCATTACTGTTATTAACTGTTACCGTAGATTAAAAAATATATGCATACATTTGTAAAAATATTTTGGTCACTTTTGAATTATAATAATTATCAACTGAAACTTCAGTTCTTTAAGTAAGATAATTTTTATTTATAATTTAATTAATTTAAATGTAAATTGTATATTAATTTTAATACGGTACTTTAAAAGGCTGTTTTTGGCATGTAAAAACGATGGGAAATAGGGCTAATAAAATATATATTATTACATTATTTATATTTTTGCTGTCCTTGCCCTGCTTGCTCCCATCGGAATCAGTCTCAGATTCCGATGAATCAATAATTTTTCTTTTAGTGTACTTCTTGTGTCTCTTGGTATTCTCTGTCTCCATTTTCCATGTATTTATAATCAATTAAGCATTCACTAAAAAGACAAAGCAGATGAAATAGATTATATCAGCCTGATCAGATTCATAATTCATTTAATTGTATTAGTATTAAAATTCAAATAGCACAGAATATTGTGGCTCGCATTGTTCTCCGCAAACGCAAGTTCGACCATGCAAAAACACTTCTGAGAGAGTTGCACTGGCTGCCGCTGCGTGCTCGCATAGAGTACAAAATTGCAACTTTGTGCTATCGCTGCTTACATGACCTGGCGCTGTTCTATCTGAAAGAGCTGCTGACGCCTTATGTCCCCACTGGATGACTACGCTCATCCGATAGTGGCAAACTCTCGACACCACGTGTTTGCCTTGAGACTTACGGAAAGCGCACTTTCGCATTTGCTGGTCCAACAATTTGGAACGCCCTTCCTGTCGATCTCAGAAACAACCAGACACTGGAGTCCTTTAAAATCGATTTAAAGACACATCTATTTCGCAAACACCTTCTGGGATGATTGTCTACCTTATTTTCCAGTTAATGCATATTAGCTGTGTTGCTTATGGTTGAAATGGGTAGAAAGACTTTGACTTGGTATGCTTGTAATTAGTTTTTGTAGTGTTGCGTTTGTTTTAAATGTGGTAAATCATAGATTTGTTTTTTGTTGACTTTGTACCGCGCTTCGAGCCTTTGGGGATGAAGCGTGTTTTTGAAATAAACTTTATTATTATTATTGGGTGATTTAATTGATTAATAACCCAAATACTCGTACCGGTACACAAAAAGTTTCCTTACTTAGAACTTCATGCCATAATATGAGACTCTGCAGGAGTTTGGCATAACCAACAAACTGCCAAGACTGATACATGTAATTGTAACATTTAACAACTCAAAAAGCAAAATCAAGGTTCAGGGAATATTCAAGGGAATTTCAGATTCGACGAGGACTAAGACAAGGAGATTCACTGTCTTGTATGCTATTTAACCTAACATTAGTGAGAGTTATAAGAAGCTTACATATTGACACCCGATGGACAATAGCAGGATATTTTCTGAGGGAGACCCACAACCAATAGGCACTCTCTACAATCAACCCCTTCAGTATCTTGCATATACTGATGACATAGCACTGTTAGGGAAAAGTGGTACATAAAGACAAATCAAAAGACTTTATTGAATTAGAAGACATCATTACACTTAACATGCAGGGCTGGAAGTTAACAACCAAAAAACAAAATACATGACTATGAATGATAAGAGAAGAACAGACAGATGAAACCATTAAAATTAGAAACCACACTTTTGAAAAAGTGTATCAATTTAAATCTCTAGGATCCTTAATAAATGAAAGAAATTAATTACTAACAGAAATAAAAGAAAGAATATCGACTGAAAACAGGGCACACTTCAAAAGAAAAAACATTACTAGAAAAACAAAGAAAACTGTTTATAAAAATGTATTCAGACCAGTTGTAACATACTAAAATTTAAACTTGGACCCTAACAAAAACATCAGAAAACCTATTAAACATGTGGGCTAATGTGGGAGCGAAAAGTTCTCCAGCAAATATATGGACCAACAAAGGATGCATATGGATGGAGAATACGAAACAACCAGGAATTGTATAGTCATAGTCAATACCAGGATTCCACCCTAGAATACAGAAATGAAAAAGGGCAGGCTACGCTGGGTAGGACACTTAGATTTGGAAAGAATGCCAAATAACAGAGGCAGTGAAGAAGGCAAGGTACATCACCAAAATCCCAGAGGAAAATGACTCAAAGTCAAAGGCAGGCTTAGATGGATGGATGATGTGCCTCAGACTATATAATATATATGACAAAGTAGGCTAGTTACCTAGACAATGTAGGTGTAGAAATTAATAATACTATTACAATTAGGCATATTAATATATTAATAATTGTATTAATATTAGACTTAGATCCTAAAACTAACAGTGTAGAATAGTAGAATTGGAGTGGCAATTTCAAAACATAGTATTTTTAATTAGTAAAAGTAAGCTAAGTAAGTTTAAGGTATAGTTTTCCATACAATAAAATAATTAAAATGATAAAAAAAGACTAAGACAAGTCAGTGTAGGCGTAGGCCTACACTTACATTACATTGAAAACGAATCATTATTAATTCATTATTATTACTATTACTATTGTAAGTTTTTAATCTTTTAAACACGCGAGAGACATGTTAAGGTTGGGTATATCGAAATGTGTTAATTAACATCAGTTTATTTAATTATAACTCTTTACTTTCTTTTTTATCTAAATCTACGATTGCGCCTTGTACACTTGACTTGTATTACTACATGTATTGTCGTCTTTAATTACGACTACGAGTTATATTACTTTTAAAAAAAAAAAAAAAAAAGTACTAGGCACTAGGCATGTAAATAAATTTTAAACAAATATACAGTAACATGTTATTGTCGAAATCATTTCAAAGATAAAGCCATCTCTTACTTGAAATTTAAATACTTGAATGAAATGTTCATACTTCTTAGTAATCTTAGTCTTAAATTTTAAATGGTCACGGTTATAGTATAGCCTACTGCTACAGACTGCTACTGCTACACCGCCTTGGCTGGTAACAGACTGAATGCTACAACCACAACTACAAAGCTGTAGACAGTGTAGACTCAACAGACAAGTAAAAGCGATGATTGCTGACAAGTGTTGTATTTAAGAGAATGTGCAGAAAAGGCATACGCTTTTCGATTTGAAGTTGAAGGCAATTAGTATTAGCTGAAAAGATTTGTTATTGAATCATTGCGGAGCCACTACACATCATTGATCAGATGCACTCACTCGGCCAGAGGGGGAGGCTAAGTCGTCTTAGTTTGCACTAAAAAAATAATGTTTCAATTTCAAAGGACAATGGGCCTGGCAAAGACGATAATAACTTTTACAAAAAATATTCGCAAAGTCAGACATTTTAGATATTTTACTTCGTATAGACCTAATAATTCTCATACGATTTTTGCCTTGTCCTCTGGTTCTGGAAAATGTGGAGTTGCTGTCATTCGAATTTCAGGCCCAAAGGCAAAATTAGCAATTGAACGGATTGTCGGTGATAAGGCCAACATTAAACTTAAACCTCGAACTGCTGCACTTCTTAAATTATATGAGCCCAATACTCAAGAAATGCTAGATAAAGCTTTGGTTTTGTGGTTTCCAGGTATTTTCAGTAGTATAGATGTCACTATAAACTTAAATACTTATATTTTTTAAAATAATTATAATTATTGTTTTAATTAATAAAAGCCTGGCCAAGGGCTGTAGACTGTATTCTAGTGCAGAGCTCCATTGGTGTGCCGCAAGCGGAGGAAAAGCGCAGCTTGTAAGCACTTAAAAATGATAGAAAAGGGATATTGGTTAGCCTATTGCTGAGCTGTGTACTGCGATAACAGAGATGCGTCTAAAACAGATTACTATAATGAATGTTTACTAATTATGTTATGTGGTATATTTTGGATGTTTTTACTTGTGGTGTTCCGCAGAATTCTAGGAAAGGCATAGAGTGTGCCTTGGGTGAAAAAAGATTACTGAGCTCTGGTCTAGTATACCAAACCTAGCCACATCTTCTTGTCATGTATATGTAGATATATTTACATTTTATGTAAGTGTTAAGCAGATGCAGGCTTAATTATTTGTTTATAATATTGCATGGGGTTGTGGGGACAGATATTTTATTTCAAGAGTAGAGTAGTAGCGAACATAACCAAGAAAAAAAAAATTGCCATGCCTTTTTGATATTCAAAATGTGCAGATATAAAGGAATTAATTTAAAAAAAGAAAGTTTAAATAAAGTCTTATGCATATTTATTATAGGCTTATGTATTGCTATCCAGCTCATTTCAAACTTACACCATATAATGAATATGCTATAAATACATAGTCACATAGATTACCCCAGATTATTCTTTACTATCTGTCTATAAATGAAAACTAAGCGGAGTTCACTTTTCCTATTTAACTTAAGTATAATATGGGGAGTACTTGGGCTTTTAAAGTCTCTTTTAAATAATTGAGACATCTACTGCTTTATGAATGTAACTTCTTTTAAAATTAATTTAAAAAGCAGCTTGCTATTGTTAAATCCATGATTTTTCCATTGTACAAGCATAAATGAGGGAGATAATTTACAGATTAGTCCCCTTGAAATTTTGAACATCTTTACTGTTATGGCCCAGGGTTAAAATCATTATTTTAACATAATTTTACACCTATCAGCTGTAACTGGACAGCCATATTTTAATTCATCAATGAACATTTTTTTTCAATTAACATATTCTTAGTTTAATAATTTGGGTAATTCTAATGCTGAATCTGATAAGTGATTTGTAAAAAATCATCTGCTATTATTTCTCTGTCTTTAGGCCCTCACAGTTTTACTGGAGAAGATATTGTAGAATTTCATGTACATGGAGGGTCTGCTGTAATTTCTTCAGTGCTAACTGCACTTGGTTCTATTGCTGGATTAAAACCTGCTCAACCTGGTGAATTTGCCAAACAGTCAGTTTTTCTGTATTTATAATCTAAGGCTTACATATTTATTAACTCGTTGAGATAAAAACCAATCCTCGATAATTCTAGTCTGAGCAGCTTGATATTTAGTATGACAAAGTGCTAGTGAAAGAATGCTAAGAATGGTGAGAGATGATATGGAACACTAGTTACATTGATACTATGCTAGGTTCAGTTACAAAAATTATATAATAATATTTGCATTTGTTTGTTGAATAATCATTACAGTTTTGATTGTAATACTTATTTTTTAATATAACTTAACATTTCTGAGAAATTTATGTTGACAAGTGCATCAAATATTTCCCCATTAATGGCATTTATTCAAGAAATCCAGGTAAATCGTTAGTGTTATTCTTAATCTATGTTCTCAGCATTTATGTCTGAACTGAAAGAACAGGTTAATTTATTTTCTTATAATTATAATTTTTAAGAGAAAGGTAGCTAATGATTGTTTTCAAAACTTGACAATAGACAATAAATATATTTTGCTTATAGCGAGTCCTGCATCCTCTTCAAAACCCCCTTCCCCACGCAAAAAATGGGTTGTCACTCAGCGAGCTTTATGCGTGACGTCTGAAAATAGGTTGATTTTTTCTTTAGGGGAGGGAACTATTATTCGTTGTTGTTATTGTTCACGTTCGCTGCATGCGTAACATCTGAACTTGGATGAATAGGATGATTTCTTTTCTTTAGAAAGGAATTTTTTTTTTTACTGTATTTTCACATCTTTGTTCTGGGACTGCATACCACACAGAACTGGGTCATGTGCCATCCTTTCACTTTGGGCATGTGTGTGCCTTTGAGTCTTTTTCATAGCCTGGTACAGGAAGGTATTGCTATTTTTGTTATGCTGTGACTGTTGTTTCATAAGTCTTTGTTATAAAATGAACAACAGGTTTTTGTATAACGTTATCTCTATTCTGGGATTCGGCAACAGCCTGTTCTTATCAGTAGGTTATTTCTTGACACAAACGGTTGACGAAGGTAATGCACTCTCACTACCATATAGGACGGTAGATTTAGTTGCACATCATATAAAATAAAAGGTTAATTATTTTTTGTAACACTTGGACCCAAAGGGTATTTTCTCAAAATACCTGGACCCATTGGGGGCGTAATTATTATACAATGTAACTTATCTTTTAATCTGTTCAAGCTTTGTCACAGTTATTTTTCTTCCCATTACTTAACCTAAAGTATATTATTTATTCTGTTTAAATTAATACTAATAGGGATATAAATATCTCCAATATAGTTGTTAAATATCTCCTATACAGCTTTTGTGATGACAAAGAAAAGAGATATATTTGAAACCTGTGAATAGCAAACCTTGAAATAGGGCTTTTCCTGAGTTCCTGGAAAATGCACTAATTCACAACAGGCACAGATAATTTTTTTTTACAAAACCCCAGGAAATCGTGCAAATTCTGTCAAATGTAAAATGCTGAAGGGTTTCTTAGGAACAAAACTATGTATTTTTACTTGGAAAAAGCAAATGTCATGCAGTGCTGGTGCCGAATTCGTCATGCACAAAGTATGAGGTACCTGGTATATATTTTGCTTTGCTAATCAATCTGCTACTGAGCTGTGTGTTTGTAAAATCAGGATTAAACAAAGTGTTGTCAGTAGATTTTCTATGAGACTAAGGGTTGTGAATGATCTGTGGGAATGGTTTGTGTAAATTTTGCCAATGCATAGTAAAAGAAAAACTATCAAACTGGTGATAGTACAAATGTAAATATATTTTATGTCTGAATTTTTATATCATAACAGTAAAATACTATACTGGTAAATGTTGATATAATTGAACAGCATGCAGAATGTTTAAACACTATAGAATCTTGCTTAATTTGGTAATTGTTCAGTGGTTATTTTACATTCACTTTTTGTTTGTTTTATCATATATTCTTATTTTCAATGTGTATGCTATTGTGCATGATCATCTTTCTGGCTGCACCTGCAAATAGCACCTCTTTTGTTTCAGTCCCATGGGTTAGTATTATTCAAAGCTTTCACTGTACCTCACTGCCGGGGATCCTTTTAATAATTGTGTTAAAAATTAAGTAACTCTTCTTAACCACCAAGTTGAGAATCATTTCTTTAAGCGTTTTTTTTTAAAAAATATATGGTGAGTTATTGAATTATTTTTTCTTCTCTTTTTTAATCGGTTTTTAGGGCATTTGTAAATGGCAAATTAGATCTAACAGAAGTTGAAGGACTTGGCGACTTGATTCATGCAGAAACGGAAGTGCAAAGAAGGCAAGCTCTTAGGCAGATGGGAGGAGAGCTTGGTCAAATTTATTCCCAGTGGAGGACTCGACTCATCAAGGTTTAATTATTGTGGATTAACGTAGCTTTGTACCTAGGAATTTATAATTTTGATAAGATAAAATTATTATTAATACCTAGTGATTTTTTTTAATTGTAACTTTAAAATTGTTTTCGTCAGTGTCTGGCTAATACTGAAGCGTTCATTGATTTCCATGAAGAAGAAAACATAGAAGATGACATATTGGATTCAGGTTAATATACGATACTATAAAGGGAAATAATTGTTGTTTTTTAAAATTTGATACTACCATATATATTATTTCAGCGCAACAGTTAAAGGCTATCATCAAAATTATTGGCTATCACAAAAATTAAAGGCTATTGTTACCTATGCTATAATAGATAATGACAACAAATTATTAGTTTATTCTTATGTTATATATATTAATAACATTACATGTATTCTTATGTTCACTTCTTAATTAAACATGAAAGATTAATGACTAAATAGCTTATTCATGTATTCTTATAGTAACTATTGAAACATGAAAGATTGACTACATAACATATTTATGTATTCTTATAGTAATTGCTGAAATATCAAAGATAAAAAATGAAGTTTCTGCACACTTGCAAGATTGTCGACATGGCGAAAGACGCAGAGATGGTTTACATGTAGTTATCATAGGAGAGCCTAATGTTGGGAAAAGCAGTTTATTAAATGCTATATGTTAGTAATCCCAATATTTTAATTGAAATTTTGGTTCATAACTTTTTTAATTAAGATAAAAGCTGACTTCAGATAATTGAAAGCAAAGATTGAAAATAAATATTTGAGTCATCTTAAAAAAGTTAAATTCTATATTTAACTAGGTAAATTTTCCACACAAAAAAATGTCATCAATAGGAGTCTGGGAAAAACCTTTTAAAGTATGCCAGTTGTAAAAAAAAAAAGATCAAGTAGGTTGCTCGTTTCGTTGGTTTACATCATGATTTAATTTATTCTAAATTTTGCGTTTACCAGGCACATTAATAATTTTATATATATATATACCTATAATTTATATATTTTTAGACAAATATGTCTAATTTTTTTATGGAGCATCATTGCAGCATGCATAAGTTAACCAGAAGCAAAAATGCAGCTGAAAAAATTCTGACAAATTGAAACAATTTAACCTATTCTAGGTCAAAGACCAGCAGCCATTGTTTCAACCATAGCAGGTACAACAAGAGATGTGGTTGAGACTGCGTTAAATATTGCTGGCTACCCTGTTCTGCTGAGTGACACAGCTGGATTACAAAATACTTCTGATGTGGTGGAAAAAGAAGGTATTTTAAGAGCTATGGCTAGGTAAGTGTTACCGTAGCTATTAAAACTTTTATGGCTAAATTATGCAGTAAATTTAAAAAAAAATGTTTTTAGTGTCCATTAAAAATACATTTAAAAAATATTACAAGTAAAAATATAGTTAATACAAAAAAGCCAGAATATGCAGAATTAAATTCTGATCATCTGGGGTTTAAATCACAGCAACTCTATGTTCCGCCACCAGAGAAATAAACAGGCTCATTTTTTATTTAATAGAAAGTCAAAAGTTATAAAAATTTACATAATCGCTTCACACCTTTTTATCAGGTGTTGCATTTTAAAATCTTTTTAGTATCTGAAATTAGGCATGCATGTATGATTTTTGGTAAAGGTAGGTCATTTGTGTCACTATATGTTACATTAATTATATTTCTTTCTATATTTCAGAGCAACAGCGGCTGATCTCAAAATAATTGTTTTGGATATCTCAAAACATGCAAACATATTGCTAACTTCTCCATCCTTTGAAAACTTCATAGCTTCATACATGGGATGCTTAGGCGTATTGCAAGATCAAATTGATGACAGTAACATCTCCAAATCTGCTCCGGGTTTCTTTAGTCAATTAAAAAGTGAAAATCAAAAAACTATTTTTAAGACAGCTGGAGAAACTGACACATACATTACCTTTTTCAAAAGTTTTGAAGAACAGTCATCCATTTCTAAAAAATTAAGAACTTTTGATCTGTCAAATATACTTATTGTCGTAAATAAGAGTGATATGGTGGCGGATAATAAAATTTTGGATTTCATACAAGCTCACAGTGATGTGATGTGCAGAATTTCATGTAAAAGTGGAGACGGTTTTGATAGCTTTATGAAGAAGTTGGTGGAAAGGATACAAAACTTGTAAGTATAAAATATTTTGTATAAAGATCCCATTTACTGTTTCATAGGTTTTGTTAATTTTATTATAGATTTATTACATGAATACACTTCCTAATTACATTACAGATTGTAGGAGTTAATGGAGGATTACTTCAATACATTATTAATATGTAAGAAAATTACAGAGCATGAAAAGTTTTGAAATTATTGTCTATTACTATTAAAATAATTACAAAAGTTGTTTTTTTTATTTAAAAAGATGTGGAAATCCAACTGTAGGAAGTCCTAGCTTGACACAAGCTCGCCACCGTCACCATCTCAATAAATGCCAGCAATATTTAACTGAATTTCCCCCCTACTTGCAAAACGATGTAGTTATGGCAGCTGAGAAGTTGCGGTTGGCAGTTCGTGAGCTTGCAAATATCACAGGTGCTGTATCAACAGAGGATGTACTGGATGTCATATTTAGAGACTTCTGCATTGGAAAGTGATAATTTCAATGAATAATTTTTCATTAAAGTATTTTGTATGAATTTTATTGTGATTTTGAAATTAATCATATTTTCTTTATATTATCAGAGGCTATGTTGTTTCCGTTAAAATATTGTTGAATTATTTTAATTCAAAATAATAGAATATAACAATCAAGGGTCAAGTAATTAATTTATTGTTTCCCACAAAGTACAGAATAAATTCATTTATAAATAAAATTGATATCTAATAAAATCACTACTGAAAATTAAAAGATACAGTATTTACAATTATTAAGTTACAAAAAAATGGCATATTTCATTCCTCAAAGCAGACGTACATTTACACAAGTAAAAGATTTAAAAATAAAGAAAATGCTACACATGTGCCATGAATTGAAGGTAATGATGTAGGAATGGAAAGAAAACAGTGTAGGGTACATTGTTTATCCATGTTAGTGCTTTAAACAAATTAGGTTATATAAGAAATTTTAATTTCGGATAAGGAATAAATTGGGTTTGACTGAAAATCTTAAGTTTTAGACAACAAAGACAGAACTGTCTTTAAATAGTGTAACTTTTAAATTTACTTGAACTTATGTTTTAAGACTAACTGGTTTAAAAACTAAATACAGTCCCATTACTGCTAAGGAATGTAAAGAGATATGCAATAGCCTTAACAATAGCCTTTACAAGAAATGTAGCTTGTAACCAAAACATTCAAATAATTTATTAAAATAATGAATCTGTAACTTGTTTGGGGGGTTGCACATGTGAACATTAACACTTTTAGTACTTCTAACACCCTGTACAGAAATATGTCCCTAATAAGGTAGTTAATGAATTCATAAATAAATATTTTATTAAAAAATTTAACAAGGCCCTCAAATACCAATATGCATACACTTTAAATATTTTTATGTGCACATTCATGATCACATGTGTCGGAAATGAATTTGGAAACATTTTTTTTAAATGTGAGACTATTTCTCAGTATAGTTCAGCAGAGCAAGTGAAAGGCACACTTTGTGCAGGAAATCTTCAACATTACGTGATAACGGTATAAAAAATTTTTTAAAAAGCAGTACACAGTAATTCATTTCCTAATAAGAAATATAATGCGTAAAAAGTGTATTATAAAAGGTTAATTTTAACTTTAATCATTTAGTGAACATAACTTTTAGGCATTAGGAAGCTATGTAATATGATGATATATTGCATTTTCATTAGCTATTTATGTTATATTTTATAAAAATAGTTTAGTCCAAAAAAAAAAAAAAAAGAGCTTAAAATTGGGATCTCTGTGAAATCACAACAGCATGTAGGGTCAGTTTGAGTAAAAATTTAAGCTCTCCACTGCAAATTGCATTTAATTTTTAATGAAATACCTTTCAATTATTGTTGCCAGTACATTAAAGGGACAATCAGTTAGAATAGTAAATTCAATTTATTTTTATTTTTGATCAAGATACAACATAAATTTATTAGAAATGAACTTAAATTGTTATTCTTTTTGAGCACTTTGGTCCAATATTTACAATTCTTATGAAATAGAAATAATATATGGTAAAGATACAACTAAATCAATGCATATTACATGCTGGAAATTAACACAAATTTTAACAAAAATTTAAATGATTTAGTATGTGAAAATTTAACCATATCATCAAGGATACATAATATTATATGCCTTATAATTATAAAACATTTGTTCAGTGAGATGTTGTAAAAGTGTAAAAAAATATTATCCACTTATGATCTATAACAAAATAATGTATAAAAAGAAATTAAATTGCAATTAGAGATTTTAAAAAATGACAAAAAAACAACAACATGGAATGTCACAAGACCATTTAATAATCCCATGTAAAAAAAAAAATTACATATCACAAATTTATGGAAGCATACTGAAACCACTTAATAACAATGCTATGAATTAATGGTTTAAACCTACTTAGATAATAATATCCTAGCATATCTGTTTTGGCAAAGACAGTGGATTGATACTTTCCGTTACATTATAAAATTTACCTTCAACTTCAATACCGGTAAAACTAAAAATATTCACCTCAAATTGGAAGCCTTTGGTGCATAGAAAACAATAAAAGAAAATACCAAGAAATCACATTTATTAAAAAAAAAAAGTCTTAAAGTAACGATCCTTTTAATAGGCCACACTGTAAAGAAAGCCAATATAAAATATTACAATGGAATCCCCAGGACAATAAACACATTGGCTAGCTGCACAAAGTTTCACAAAGAGAGAAGTTAAAAGAGTTGGGAAGAGTGACTTGATACAGAAGAGATGGAAACAAATGCCTCATTAGTATTAGAAGTTAGAAGCAACACAGGCTAAGGAGAAGCAATTGTTGATTCTCAAAGATAAAGCCTTGTGACATATTATAAAAGCAATTACCACATTTGTTTTAAATGACTCTAGACTGAACAGGTTATCATTCATACTTGTTCTCTGTACTTGAATAAGTGTTTTCAAGAATAAGAAAGTAAATAAAAGTTTTTTTAATAATTTTTAACATTTTCAATACCAAAATATTTTTTAATGGGGATAATGGCACCAAAATGAAGATGAAATTGCACAGTATATCGAGCAAATACAAGATGCATCAAAATTGATGTGAAGAATCTAAAAACTATAAACAAACAAAATGTAATTTGAACTATCAACTTTCATGTCTCCTTTCATTGAAGCATGGCAGTAATCGAAAATCACACCTGGTAAAATACCACATTGGGGCCATCCATAAAAGACGCCCACCAATTTTTTTT